AAGAAGGTAGGGCGACGCGAAGGCAGGCCGGGGAGGAGGAATCAGACGGAACGCTAGAGACACAAGGAGGTTTCCCCATCTCCTCTCCGGTATTCCGTCTGCTTCCTCCTCCCTGGCCTGCCTTTCCCTCGCCCTACCTTCTTGAGGTGCAGCGGACTATAGGGTTCCGCGTTTTCGGTTAAATCCGAAGAAATCCGAAAAAATACTCGCCGTTCAGTTTTACATCAATTCGGATTTACCCGAAAACTCAAAATTTCGAGGTCACAACAACAATTAAAAAGCAAAAAAAAAAAAAAAAAAGAAAGACGGTGTTTTACAAATAAACTCTATATGAGCACAAAGCCAGTGGTTCTGAGGAAATGACATTTCAGTTTCCTTTGAAATCTACAAATATTGACAAAAAAAAGGTTTGTTCCATATAGCACGTAGACATTTTTATTTTGTTTTTGATTTTTTTTTATATATATAAGAACGCAGTAAAATAAGCCTCCAATCTCAAAAAAATTGGGAATGTAACGGAAATAAACTCGGATGAACCCCCCCCCCCCCCCCCCCCCCCGAATCACCCCCGAATCAATTCGGTGAATTTTTTCACCGAATTTTTTCCCCCGAATCAATTCGGTGAATTTTTTCACCGAATTTTCGGTGAAAAAATAAACTGCGAAAAACACTCCGAATTTCACGAGAAATGAACTTCGAAAACACGTAACCCTAACAATATCAGTCAAATTGGATTGCGCAATGGTGTTTTCATAATCCTGCTTTTGTGTTGTGGTTTGTTCTTTTTTTTTATGGAGTTTTTGAGATCGCCTGCTAACGTTTTGCACTGCACGCCAAGGTGGCGACTTCGCACGTTGTATTTTCTTTCTTTTTTTTTCCTCTTCTTGGTTCTTGGACTAACGCGGGCGATGGTGTGGTCTGTGTTGGGCCGTAGGTTGTGTACTCCTTTTCACTTTGCAACGATACGAGCCATCGGAGTCAGTCCTGACGTCGTGTAAGTGTCACGTGAACTTCGGAAGGGGCTCAGTGGCACGCGGATGTGTAATCACGTGATTCACATGTACGTTCACAGCGCTAGATTGGCTGGGATGGTTCGTCCGCTGCGGTTCATCGAAAGGTGAAACCGAGTATAGCTACTGGCGTGCTGAGATCGTGAAATGGGAGACAAGGGGACAATTCGGACGCGGACCGCGTGGTTGGGAGTGCTCGCGACCCGAAAACCTGGGGCTCTAAACTCGTCAGATACAAAGTTGGGCCCGAAGTTGACGGAGCGCACTGATTGGACTATCACGACGATGACTTGGCGTTTTTGACGCCAGCGTCCAATCAGCGCGCTCCGCGAACTTTGGGCTCCAACTTTGTGTCTGACGAGTTTAGGGCCCCTGATCGGGGCTGGAAGCAACCTTGAGTCAGCTGAGCTGGGAGGGGCGGCACGGCAGAGACGTCGGTCCGTCGTACGTTGGAACGCGGGGAAGTCGGGCCGAGGCGTCGCTTCACGCCTCGGATTGTGCGAGCGCGTGGCTGATTGGTCGTTCGGCCGCCAAGAACACCGAAGAAGGACTTTAGCACCTGGGCTAATTGGTGATCCGTTGTGAAAAGCGCTTGTATAAGGACTTCTCCCGTTTCAACCGGCTGTGCAAGAGGCGCGCGCAACCTTCGCTTTACCGTCCGGACCTAAATTCGCGCATTCACCATGTTTGCTTCTTTTTTAAATATAATTTGCGTTATTTCCTTTTTCTTTCTTTCTCTCTCTCTCTCTTTTCCCTCTTTTTTTTTAAGGGGGAGGGGGGGTGTATACATTATTTTAATTGGTTTCTTGGCTTCTGCTCAACCAGACTTTAGCGGGATTTTTTTATTTTATTTTTCGTGTTTTTTGTGTGTCCGCGTGTGTGCACATATGATAAAGTTCCTGAGTTAGCAGTATCTTTTTTCTTCAAAATAAATTTGTTTTTTTTTTGTTTTTTTTTTAGTGTGCCAAGGTGGCTGCACGAAGTCACCCCGCGCTTCACTCTTCTCCGCTCGGAAAAAAAAAAAAATTTAATCACAGGCTTGGGCTTACGGCGAATATCGTCAGAACCACTAATGGTATCCTATCAAGCTAGGCTACTGGTTTCGGAGGCAATCTGCACAAAAGAACGTTGTCAACGATGAGCCAATAAAACGAACGCGGGCAACTCTCTGCCTAAACCTGCGCTCTCAGCTTTCAGAATCTCGAGCACACCCCCAAAGCACGACGAAAGGCAACTTTCATGGTCTAAAAACGAAACTTCTATGGCTTTCTTTTTTTTTCCCACCTATTAATTTGATTACATATACTGCTCTAATTATTTATTCCTTGGAACGGTCACAATAATCTGGAACCGTGTGATAATGAAAGCGGTATCGCAATGCGAATGTATGGAAATACCGAACTCCAGTTTATTTATTTCTTGTGAGCTATCCAAGCAAAGCAACGTGAAAGTAACTTGTATCATAGCGATTTAAGTAATTAACTACTTTCTACGGGAGCGATTTGTAGCGGCGCGGTAATTTATTGCATTTAAGGTGTAGTCATATGTAATCAATTTTACTTTTCAAGTAGCGGGCACAAGTCTGTTTTGAACGCAGGCCTTTTTGAACAAGCAGCCTAACAAAATATACGAAACCACGCAAATATTAAAAACTGAACAAAATCACGGATGAATAATCCTTGCCATATATGAATCTCAAGTATACTTGCATATTCGTGTTTTCTTTTTCTCTCATTTTTATGCATATTATTTGCGCATGAAGTTGTCTTAAAAATGCAATTCAGCAAGATATTTTTTTGTGCAGGCGTTAGTTGGCAAAAGTTTAAGCCTACAAAGCTTGCAGCGAAAGTGTCAAATGGGTGGCGACGCTGTCAGGAAACAACTTTCGACAGAAAACGACCACGCACGGATTTGTTAATTGCTCAAAATCGACCGGTTCTCATTCCAGCAGCTGTACCTGGGAACAGCACTGCGTGGATCTTGGCATACTTCTTAAGAGAAGAAAGTAGAAACGACACATTGAAGAAGTGCACTATTTAGTGAGCCATAAATGCTGTAACAGGGCAAATAGGTTCAGACATGGGCTCCATTTCAGAAATGGTATAGGCAACTTTGAGAGGGGCGCACACTTACTTTTTTGCATTGCTGTACGCGTGACGTCGTTCTAGTATTCTGACGCGTGCAGCGACGCGAGGGCCATTATAGTCGCCGACAGCTCTCAGGGCATGGATTACTAGGCTTCTGGCACCCTAATTGGTTCTTCGGCGCTACGGTCGCCCATTGCCGCACTCTGCGATTCTTAAGCTGTGAGCGACTCTCTAGTCAAGTACGCCTTAGGCCGCGTGTTAACTGTGACAAATTGTGACAGCCTAATCTGACACAACTGTTGGCCCTGCGTTCGAATACAATTAATACGACAGCGTACGCGCGAGTGCGTGTTCGTGACCAATCACTACAATAATTGTTTTGTTTTTTTTTCTTTTTACGGGGGGGGGGGGGGGGGGAGGGGAGGGGAGGGGGTGGCAGAGAACGCGCTTTGAGGATTGCAATCCCACAGGAACGTGACAGCGATGAACATCACCGACACGAACTAGTCAAAAAACAGGTTACCGCTTGCTCGGGTCGCAGTTAAATAACTTGTTTCAATTTTATGGGAGGTTTCCTGCAACAGCTAGTGCGTGGAGGGAAATACGAATGCATGGCCTATTATACATTGCGAACGTCGAGAATTCACGATAAACAGCATTTTGCTCAAATTAGCTGAACGGCCTTTTTATCACAAACCTTCACCAACGAACTGTCACAAACAATAGCAGCTGGTATCTTTTTTTATATATAAACCTATAGCAACAATACAATACTGCAGAGATTCAGTTCGCTATTTGTTGTTGTTGGCGGTTGTGGTGCCGTCTTTGAGATAAAGAAAAAAAAAGCTGGTTTGAAATGAGTCATCTGAAGGTGTTTCATACTAGCGCTGAGTGAATATCCCTTTGTGATTTTTGAAAAGATATTGACTACTCATTTCGTACGTCAAGTGAAAACTTCATTAGGCGATGGTGCGTAAGGTTTACTTTATGATTTTAAATGTAGTCACAAAAAAAAAGTTCATGACCGTCGGCATCTAACACAGCAATTCAACTCTCATTCGTAAAATTTAAAAAAAAAATCAGAATGAACTCTGGAAGCAAGTATCCCATAGGGTCCTGACTTGGACTTCTTAGAGAAAATATGCTCAAATGAACACTTATTACAATGCTAGTTCATATTCAGGTATGCATCCATTTTCAAAGGAATCCAACTGTGCATGCTCAACTAGTTCTGTTGGTATAAGTGAACCAAGCAGACTCTTGGTCGCTTCGCTGGCCTATATCTTTCTTATACAGACCTTAAATCACTTCAAACCTAGCCCGTTTCTGTAGCTTGGTCGGTATTTCTATATAAAAAAAATTGTCTAGGACTCAACTATTTTATTTTTAATGCACGGGGACATGTGTGATGGATCAATTCATGGCATCATTCTAGAACAATCCTAAATGCTTCCCGGAAAGTCCTTACTGACTTCACGAGATGCTTACACCCGTAGGAATGCGAAAAACTTTCTTTAGAGAACAACAAACCCGGCATCGACGTCTTGCCAAAGATGTGAGCCAGGTTGTATGCTTGTTCCCCACCCGAACGAATATAGGTGTCGAGCAAATAAATCCGTTTTTCTGGTCTGGTCATTCAGTCAATGAATCGCATCTCTCCCCTTACACATTTATTCACTCCTACTCGTCTAGAGACGGCCTCAACCTCTGTCTAACAAGAACTGAAAATCGGCCGTTTTGTCAAAAAGCGCGAATACGGAATCCAGATCACGCATTCACATATCTTCGATCTCTCCGTGTGTTTCCTACTACCTACCGGAATGCAATCCTCCTCGTTCGGAACGCTTCCCTCTCTTCGATAGTGGAGCAGACAAGACATTTCGAACAGGAAGCCAGGACTTACCCCGACCTCGTGAACTCGCCGACCATCTTCATCATCCTCTCCGAAAGGCGCCTCTCGTCTAGGTTGGCGTTCATGTCATTCATAGAACCGAGCATGTACAACATGTCTTCTCCGTGTGTTGGCCCGAAGAGCTCCGATCCAAACGATGATTGCTGCGTCAACATAAAGTAGTACACCTTGGCTCCCAGGTTCGCTAGGCTTTCTCCAAATTCCTTGCCGGGACAAAGAGTGATTCCGTCTCCAATGGCACGTCCTCCAGCCTTGATCATCTGGCTCGCAGAGGGCTTGGTCATGTTCAAGTAATAGTTCGACACCGGAGATGCATTTCGTTTGTACATGGTGCCGAAGTAGAGTCCCACCAGGTAACGGATGTCTCCCATCTTGATATCATTTATAGGCGCTCCGTCAAAATATCCGCCGTAGTAGAGAAGTTCGGAACCTTCCTCTTCCGTGATGCCCATCAAGACATCCATGCCGCTGAAGCTTCGTATGTCCTGCATCATATCCCTGGGAGTTTTAGGCAGAAACTCTTCTCCAAACACGGGTAAAAGCGATATCCGACCTCTCCTAAACTCGTATTGCGAGCTGGACGCTACATCCAAAGCGTCCTTCTGTTGAAGACAGCTGATGACGCCACTCGAGTTCCTCACCCAGTCCAACTGAGTATTGAGGCAGCCTAGCTTTCGAGCAACCGTGAGGGCCCTGTTATAAGCGACGTCTCTTCGATTCAACGGCGATGAGGTGTAAGGACTACCTCCCAGTAAAATTGCCCTCTTGAACAAGTTTCGACTCATGGGCGACAACATGTGATAGCCGACGCTCTGGGCTCCCGCACCATGCCCCATCACGGTGATGCTGTCCGGATCTCCGCCGAAATATTCGATGTTGTCTTTTACCCACTTGAGCGCGAGGTTCTGATCGAAGAGCCCTGCGTTTCCTGGCACGTCCCTGTGCCGAGCGTACAAGAATCCCAAAGCGTTTAGTCGGTAGTTGAACGACACTGAAACCACATCTCCGACGGCTGACAGGTGTGACATATCCGTTGATGCCCGCTCAGAGCCTCCATAAGTGAATGCTCCTCCGTGAATGAATACGATAACTGGCTTCTTGGTGCACTTGGACCGGTCTTGGCAGGTATCTGGAGTCCACACGTTCAGGTAGAGGCAATCTTCGCTGACACTCAAGTCGTAGTTGTTCCAACGCTCGTCGGCATAAAAATACACCTGCGGGCAGGAAGGAGGCTTGACCGTGGCGTTGTAGATCCCGGTGCCCCAGTCGTACTGGGGTTGTGGCTTTTTGAAGCGCAGAGCTCCTGTCGGCTGCATTGCGTACGGGATTCCGTAGAACTCGTTCACAGTTTTGTCCTCAACCATCTTTTGCGTCCCGCGCACACATCCTGTCTTGAAGCACACCACAGGAGCTTCGGAGAAAATATCATTCTCGGACGCAGAAGCCGCAAGACTTGCAACAGCTGCCAAGTGCAACAGGGTAAGATAGTGGAACGTTGCCATCGTGGCCCGACTAAGAGAAAGAAAAAAAAATGGTCGCTTATTAGTCCCAAGTTTTGACTATTGGCTTATTTTGCTTCACAACTAGCTTTAATTTGTATATTCACGCGGTAACCTACGATATATATAAGAAGAAAAACGGACGATATTTTGGTCAACTCGTAAAACCGTGTCTCTCCTACGCAATCTGACGTAGAAAACACAAACTGCTTCTCTTGCATAAAAATATATTTCCAAATAAAGTCTACATCTTGATAGTACCAAAACTATATTCACCGTAGAAAGTGTGCCTATAGCACGTGCACTCTTTACCGTTTAGAAATATCAAGCCCCTAAATATTTATAAATCCAGAATTACAAGGCAAAATAATTTGTGAAAAATAATTATTTTAGAATAACATATCTTTTTACAAACGCCTCACCTAAATGGTGAAGTCAAAGGGACAATGCGTTAAAACCAGATGATCCCTACATTTACACACGTTACACACAACATACGTTTCTATTAGCCTATCCAAGGCAGCTTTGGGGGCCCCGTACTTGCGAGTCAACGCCACGGAACACCACTGACACGCGGGCAGGTGCAAACGCGCTTCTATATACGCGCCGTGCTGAACTTACCTCGTTATTTGCTAATCCGAGCTGCACCCCGAGCGAGCAGAGCATCCTCAACGCCACTTGGCGCGGAAGCCGAGGAGCACCCAATGGCCTCCAGGGTGCGGAGGCCGCGGCTTTTGACGGCTCTCGTGCGGACAGTCAGGCCTTGAACGCAGAGGAGCTTCATCCGCGAGTCGGAACACCCTTGTGCGACGAGCGGCAGCTCTCCTGCACGCCGATTACGCCGCGTCGGGCACCACTCGTCAGAGAGGAGGAACTCTGCCGCGCCGTTACGTCACGAATGCGAGCAGACGGCCGCTCCGCTTTTTACGCGAGTTGCCCTCGCGTGGTCCTTTCTCCCCGATCATTACGGAGCGAAAGGTGGCGGTGGAGCCACAATGCCTGCAGCCCCCGAGCTGTACCACGTCTCTCCGCCGACGACAACCTTCCAGCACTATCCTTGTTTGTTTGTCTGTCTCTCGGCGTCGCGTCCCTTTCTAGGTTGGGCCCCGAGGCTGGGTTCTCGCCCAGCTCGGAGACGCCGGCAGATCACAAAAACAGGCACACGCCCTGCATTACACGTTTGCGCCATCCCTGACCAGCGGGGTTCTTAGTGCTGGTCAAAGTTCCAACGCGGCTGGGAAGGGTAACAGCAGGGAGCGACACCCTGAAGACCTTAGCAATAAGGTCGCGCGACCGCTCCGGTGGGAATATAGGTGACCACCGCGCGCCGTCTCTTCGCGACCTCAGAAACAATGGATCGCTACCTATAAAATCAAGACCGACGGCGCTGGCGGTGCGTTTATCTGCGGCCGTCAGCAAAAAACAACAAGCGCACTCGTGGCCACTTTGTCTGTTCGTTTCGGCGAAGCTGACCCGGCTCTATGATGTAATTTGCCTCTTGTCCCGAAGGCCTGTGACCTCCCGCAGGTCTTCACGTTCTGACGTTACGGCTAACGATGCCTTCCTGCCGTCATGATACCTTGGCTGTTGAGCTGTGTCCACGTTTCACTTTCAGGACGACTAGGAGAGTAATAACGCAAACACAACGAGTAAACAAACAAAACGGATGTTATGATGTCTTCGTCGTTATTGAGTGTCCGCCCACAACGTTTTCTTTAAGGCATGAAATGTTTCTAACGCTACCCCCCAATCTCAAAATTGTGTTCGGCCGTCCGTCCGTTCGCGCATTTCCCGCTAAGTTTAGCAGGGAAATTGATATCACGAGACCTATACACGAATCCAGTTTCTCATCTAATTTTAGCGGGAAAATTTATGTCACATGACCTGACGCTGCGGGACTTACAGACCAATTCAGTTTCCCCGATGAATTTAGCGGACAATTTGACCTCACGTAACCTATAAACCAACTCCGTTTCCCCGCGCAATTTAGAGGGAAGCTTCACGTCTTGTGGCCAAAACATCCATTTGATAGTCACGTGACCTACTCGTCAATTAGTTACCTACTAAATTTAGCGGGGGAAATCAACGTCACGTGACCTGACGTTATGTGACCTTTACAACCATTCAGTTTTCCTAAGTTTCTCAGTCATTTCATCACGAGTTCAGCGATACCGTCAGACGCCACCGACCTTTTTTCCCGACCCCAACCATCAAATATGTTTGTTTCTTCTTTCCGAAGCTCCATTGCGCTTCCTCCACACATTACACGTCTGTGGCGAGTGTACTTTTCGCTGACGAATGATGGAATGACTGAAACCCGGCGGACACCTTCTTTTGAGAGGACATCGAAAAGCCTACGCCGCATACTGCCTACACCTGTGCGCTGTTCTTAAGGAGCAGTAGCTAGAGTATGCATCTTCATTATCTATATAACAAAAACATTAAACATTTTTTACTGAAAAAGCACATTATATGTTGTTGTTTCTTTTTTTTTACCCAGTTCATTGGAAGTTGTAAGAGAGAACATTGTATATAGTTCCATAATTTAGTGAACCTAACAATTATTCTGTCCAAGGTAGTTGTTTACGATGCAGAAGCTAGAGATATCGCTAGGTTTTCTGGGGCTACTATAGACGCCGCACGTCGTAAACTATCCTACCAATTCCACGTCCAACCACCTCCTTCTCTGTCTAGGACTGTGTCGCATTTGCACTGCCTATAGATAGCACAAACTTCATTTAATCTTACTGCCTCAACGTAAAATATCCATAGTTTCATTTGCTCTAAATTACTGAAAAACAAAATCGTCAGTGTGAATACTGACGCAGCGCTTTCACCCCGTCGATACGTCGTGGAGCTACAGAAAAAAAAAAATCTGAACACTCAAAGCAGTTTTATGCACGGAATGGCATCTAAGCGGTCGTAATCGTTTTTTTTTGTTTTTTTTTTTGTGCTTGCGGTTTTAAAACATGAAAGAATTGGTCTAATGGCTAAATCGACAAACTAAATTGATTTCGGTACCTCACTTTCATTGAGCCCGGCAAGCTCTCGGCCATCTTTGATGGGCGTGTGGGCTACCCTGCCTCCGCAAACACGTTTCGTGCGGAGACTTTTCTGCGAACAAGACTTATTTTTATTACTTATGGGGCCCTTTAGCTGCGTCGCACAAAGAACAAAATATTAAATACCCGTTATATTCTTCAAAAACAAGAGTTTATTTTTTAGTCATCCTTTCAACTATCAGATGGGTTTCGTGGAACATGATTAGAGCTGTGCGTGCCAATATCTCTTCAATCATAAGAGTGCGGTGTCATTTCTAGATTCAACGCGGTAAAATATTGGTACGTCGTGGCTTTTGTTTTTTATCGCAAATGTTAGAAATGACGGTGTGCTATTCGATTTGAGTCACTATGCGCACATCCCTAAAAATCAGTCTTGTACTACATTAAAATACATTTCTTTAATATATGTTAACAAGATTGTAGAAATCATTTTAAAAAAAATTCACACGATTCAGTTCTTTGTTTATAATATGTCATAAACAATGTTTGTTCAAGCATCTCGGTACAGGACCATATGTTTGTGTTACACTATTGAGCTCTATATATAGTGTACTAATATTAACATGCCATCTGTCTGCATTGATGGTTTCTTTTATTGACTGCACTAAAAGCTATTTTCTGTTCTGTTTTACGCCATGCTACATCCATTGATTATTTACCAAAATAGGCATGCCCGCAATCGTAGTACTATTCACAAATTATTGTTTGAAATCAGTTGCATCATCCATGGTATATCAAGAAGTGACCAAAAAACCGCTCTGAACCTTAACTGGCGTCTTGAATTGTGAAACCGCCAAGCTATGTTTCTGAATCGTTTTCATGGCAGTTACAGTGTTCACAATGCAGAAGTTGCGGATCGAAACCTGCATATATCTATTCGTCTACGCCCAATCGTAACCAAGTCGATATGATGTTTCGTCGTTATATTCGTTAAAAATGTTTTCGAGAAATTAACTTATCTTGAGCGCATTACATTGATTAAACAAGTTTGAGGTTACTTTATTAATAACACAATTTCAAACCCCATTTTGATCAGTCCAGCAATTGAATCAAATTTAGGCCTAAAGATTAGTCAGACTAATAAAGTTAATAAGATTAACGAGATTTCATCTAATTCTACCTGTTTGTGACGATCTTCTTTAGGCAATGCGGAGTTTGGATCAACGCGTAAAATTTACGTGTTTTATTTTTTTTTTTTAGCTGAAATATTGTCAATTGCATGCGGTGCGATTGGCCGCCGCCATGTTTCCGCTCGTGCGAGAGAGTCCGTGCAATTACAAGCTTGTCAAAGTATATGTTCACGCGCACGCTGCACGTGCTTGCACGCATATAGGGCACCAGTCGGGGCACCATGCTTGCAATTGTCTATTCCTGTTTTGTACGTAGCCACCGACAAGGCGAGGAGAACGGCAAGGCGCCTCTCTCGAACAATGCAATGAACACGCGTTCGTTGCATTCGGCGCGCTTTCGCTGCGCGAACAGGCTCGAGGCTCACAAGGCGCCGATGTGTTATGTAAAGTAGAAAGAAAGCTTGCACTGGAGGCGAGACAACTGCAACTCCTCGATGTCGTTCTCTTCATGTCCGTGACCATGCGACGAGACACCGAGGGAGGGAACGAGACGAAAGCGCGCACGGCCGTCAGAACGCAATGCTCTGACTGGAATGCCTTCGTCTCTACTCACCTACCAAACGCCGGCGTACAGCGTTTCGCATTCGAACGATTTCACGAGTTGACGTCTATAGGAAGTATTCACTGGACGCCATATTTGAGGGCGATGCTTAAAGCGCATGCTCACAACGAGCTCACATTAATAGGCTGCTAAGACCAGCAAGCTTGATGGTGTGGGATGCACGTTGCAAAAGAACTGGGGAAGGTCGCCGCCAGCACGCGCTCAGCAGTCGCGCACACAGCTATGGCCGCCAGTGAATACTCCCTATACGCTGATCATT